TCAAGCCAGAGTGGAGTTACATCATCCTTATTTGAAGTAAATACGCTAGCTCTTGTGAAGACAGAAGTTTTTTTGGTCCTGAGCTATAAGAGGGACATTGAGCAATGTGATCTGAACAATGCCATCAATGAAAGTTTCATTTAAAATGCAAAGTTAAGCTACATGTGGCTGCCTCTTTATTGGCCTTCTGGGCGTAGTGCTGAAGCAGAGCTATGCCCATCTACTTCTCTAAGGGTCCACTTGACGTGCTCCACATAGCCGTATCTATCCTTAAAATGGAGACAATGATGGGGAGTGCTATAAATGATTAGCAGACTTTACATCATCATTTCAGCCAAGATTTCCGTAAGAGTCATAGAGAAGACTATTGAAATTGAGAGATTTTCAACCACGTAGATGGCAAAGACTGTTCCATGGAAAAGGCCAAGGAACCAAACTTGTCTACTGGCCACGTGGAGGGAGGTGGGAAGTAGGAGAAACCTGAGGCAGAGCCAGTGTTTGGGAGGACATAAGTGGCTTCCTGAGGCCACAAAGTCGGTACCAAGCAAGCCGTGATTTAGCTTACTTGTCTCGGTATTACCGAATTCCACCTCTTCCAGGGTAGAACTTCAATGTCCTTCTGGTGTTATACGTGCCAATCGAGTACATAGAAAATGAACCACTGAATAAGCACATTTACTCATTTTAATAGAAGTAATTGATATATCCATCTAAGTGCCAGAGGAAAACCACCAAAAATGATTATTTGTGTTTGGGCAAAATTACAATTTAGATGAGATTCTTGGCCATAATTTGTTAAATCAAGAGCTTCTTGATACCACTCCAGAGACATGAATGCAGGGTCTTGATCATCAGCCTATAGGAAAAGCACTCAATCTGTCTAAAAGAAATGTACAAATGTTACAGTACAAGTTAAATATACAAGAGGCTAGATCTCAATGTTGGTTTACACCATTTAATATGGGAATTTGATAAATTAGAAAATCATTTTTGCCCTCCTGATTCTCATGATTGAGATTTGGCATTGGGATAAAACATCTGAAAAATCATTTAAAAGCTTAAATCAATATTAAGATCATCCAAATTGCCCAATTAACAATTTCTGTATATCAAGTCAAAGGTTGATGGTGGATACATAAATTCTATGAAATGTCTTGAAAGATTCCTGACAGTTTTTTTCTATTAGTTGAAGCAATCTGTGTTTTACAATTAGAACTAGGAATTAGAAAGGAACAGTAATGGGAGAAAGAAATGACCCGAGACAGGCTTTAAAGGACAGACAAGCCTAGGAGGCCTCCACGGTTTGGGACCCTGGGCATGATGGTGCCAGTTGCAAGGGACATATGTCAAGTTTTCCGAGTTGGCCTCAGCTCCTGAGTGTGAGTTGTGGGGGAGAGGCTGTCCCCGCTCCATGTCTCACCACTTTCCCGAGGAAGCATCAGGCTCTCAGATTCCCTTCTCTGGCAGAGGCTGAAGGTGAATGGTGAAGGACAAGTCTCAAACAGGTGCACAATTCATCGCAAGTCCAGCCTGGGAGACCAGCACGTTGCTTTAGGTCAGGAGTGGGTTATGACCGATTTTTCTTAGTCCTGTTTTAACATTCTTACCAAATTTAAGGAGCTGGCTGGGAAAATCTGAGTCTGGCCAGATTAACAAGAAGAGTATCTCCTTTTCAGGCTATAATGTATTTTTGTATGCAGAATTCTTTCAAAAAAAATATGCCAATTTATTAAGTACACTAAACAGTTGTAAATTTACATTGAAGTGAGGCAGCGTGCCTTCCTCAATGATGGTTATGGACTATACTTTAAAACAGCAACTTTCAATGTGTAACTTTTCCATCAATCACACAAACACACACCTGAAAGAGTTTACTCCTCATACAACACACAGTTGCCTCCAAGAAAATAGAGACTTTTTCTAAATCTTTAGAAATTAGAAAATCTTGAAGGTTCCTCTAGTATAGCATTTGGGGCTAAGATAGCATAAAACATTTTTTCCCCAAAAGCAGACTTTCCATTTTTCCATAATTGTACTTCAATCACATATTTGGATAATCATCAATGACAGTCCTGCAAACACTTACCAACCCTGCGAGACTAATTTCCTAGTGGAAATTCTGTCCAGAGCGCTGCCCTCTGTCCATCTCCCTCCTCACCTGCTTCCTGGTGAACGCGCCAAATCCTTTGCCTTCCAATGTTCTTCCCTCGATACTCCCCATCAGAGTCGGCACCCCCACCCACCGAGTGGCTCAAATTCCTAAAACCAAGATCATCCTTGAGTCCTTCTTTCCCTCCACACTGCAAGACACATTGGCCTTGTCCCAGCCTTCAGCTATGCAAATGCCATTTCCACCTGCACCTAAATCGCTCTGCCCCGGGCCTTTGCATGGCTCGCTCCTTCCTGCCACTCAGATCTAAGTTCACATGCTGACTCTTCCTTGCGGTCTCCTCTAACCCTCCGATTCCCATCCTCCTAACTCTGTCTCTCCAGCACATCTTTTGTTTTCTCCATAGCATTGCTCATTGTCCTCGGTTATCAATTTGTCATTCATTTGCGTGTTATCTGTCTCCCCGACTAGAACATGAGTCCCATGAGAGCTGGGGTGGGCTGTCTTGTTCATCCCACCACCCAGAGCAATGCCTAGCACGTGGCGGGCGATCCGTGAGTATTGAACGGACACATTTATGTGAGGCTTTTTGATACTAATAAAGAGATACGGTGTGTTTTAGAAATGAAGTACCCAATGGCCTGAATAGCATGCTTCCCACCTGAGAGAGAATTTCATAAAAGGATTCCAGAAATGTGGAAGGGAAGAGAGAAGTGATGGGCACACCAGCTACCAACTGCCTCAACCAGGAGCCAGTGCTTTCGCTCACGTTCCCATTTGCTAGAACTAAGTCACATGGCTCCCACCCGCTGATGCTCGAACCTCGGGAACAGTGCCTTCCTGGGAGCAGAGGCACAGGGAATGGCGGTGAACTTATGCACTTCCTTGGCCCCAAGGAGAATCAGGAGAGAATGTTCCCATTTTGAGGAAGCACAAGAGACTGAGGCAACAGATAGTCTCATGACCAAGAACTTGGAGGCATGAGAATATTGGGCTACAAATTTCACACGTAGGGGCTGGCCCCGTGGCTCAATGGTTAAGTTCGTGCGCTCTGCTTCAGCGACCCAGAGTTTCCCCAGCTCGGATCCTGGGCGCAGACACGGCACTGGTTGTCAGGCCACGCTGAGTCAGCATCCCACATAGCACAACCAGAGGCACTCACAACTAGAATATACAACTATGTACTGGGGGGCTTTGGGGAGAAGAAGCAGCAAAAAAAAAAAAGAAGATTGGCAAGACATGTTAGCTCAGGTGCCAGTCTTTAAAAAAACAAAAAAGAGAATTCTTTAAAAAAACATTTCACATGTACTATTAAAGTGTTATTAAATGGTAGTTTTACGTTAAATGACATTGGGGGGGCATTTTGAATATTCTCATGAGTACTACACTAAGGGACTATGACGGCAACCGTCCATTTCCTTCCCCCATTTTTGAGCTTGTTCTGTTCATACAGAGTTTCCTCTCAAAGGGTCTTCCCTCTGACCCTCCCCTACGGATTCATGTGCGCATTCTGGTCATCAGCACGCCCTCTGTCGGGCAGTCTGGACTCTAAGCAGAGTCCTCCTCAGGCTCAACCTCCAGCGGAATCCATTCTGCCCCCAGCACTGTGCTGTGTACCTGTGCACTTGGCCTGAGGCTGGTCTAAAAGAAGAAGGGGACTGCGAGCTTTTGTGTCACTGCACATCCTACAGGAAAGTGGCCTCTTCAGGGGGCGGGCCAACAGGTGTACACAGCAGGTCCTTTCAGTGCCTGGCCACAGTCTGCCCTCGAGATCAGCACAGACAGCCCACAAACAGGACACATCCCTGCCTCTGTCTGTCTGAAGACATCCTTTTGCCCCTGGAGTGTGCAGCCTAAACACAAAGGGTAAACCAGAAATGTAAGGGAGTTCACGCCCCCAAGACAACCTCAACTGATGCTAGAGGGGAGCTGTAATAAATACCTCCTCCTCAAGGGGACTACCCTGCAGCGTCCTCCACACGGGGTCCCCAGTGGGACTAAGCCCCAGCCGCCGACAGCAGACACCTACTCATAAACACACCCCTATGGGTAGAGCCAGATTCTTGACAGGTTTGCCGTCTGTGCCTCATGGTCACACAGAGCCCCTCACTTAGATGGGTCCCGTGCTTGGTTTATGCTCTGCAGTGATTGTCTTGAAATTTTTAATCACTGTCAACAAAGGGTTGCATTTTCATCTTGCAGTGGGCACTCCAAATTATGGGGCTTGTCTGGCCTATGGGTCTCCTCCCTCAGGAGGTTTATTAGGGTCAAACAAGCCACTTGCATCCAGATCCTTCTCTCAGGGGCTCACTTAGGGAAACACAAACTAAGATGGCAGAAAGCTCTCCTTGCCTCTCCCTGCACTCCTCCTCCTATCCGCCTCCTCCAGGTTTCCTTCAATCCTGGAAATATCACAACACATCAGAAGAGTGTTGAGTTCTACAACTCAGTTCTGGTCCGCCCACGTTCAACGGCTCACTACAATGAGCAGAGATTTACACAGACGTGTACGCTGTAGCAACACAATAGAATGGTCTTCTTGACATTCACTGACCACTCCAAGAACCCTTCCCACGTCAGACCCTTGGCATTTACTGCCCTTCTGGAAGGTTCTTCTCCCCATTATAACTGTGTAACACAGAAAAATACGCATGTGCTCAGACTGCTTCTACACAAACTACACCTGGGATATCCGCATGAAGATTCTTTGCTTTATCAATGATTTACCACAGGTTTCCTCTGGACTAAAGCCTCCCAAAAACACAGGAAGTGCTTTCACTCATTTCAATCGCCATCTGCCTTCATTCTCAGAGCATACCTCTAGCATAAAGTAAAATGTACCCTTAATAAAGCTGACAGTGAACCCAAAATTAACTTCCAAAATACTTACCATGTGTCACTGTGCTCCATTAGGAGGCAAAAATTTCCCATTTAATTCCACTTAACTGTGGAATCTCAGAGGACAGCACCTTTATCTCACGGACAGTCTGTGGGAAGAAAAAGTTTTATCAAATATCCAGTATTGGGCCATTTCCTGGGACAGTGTTCAATTATTAATTTGAGCCTGATGAAACTACATAAAATCTTAATGGAAAGGCAACTGAAAAGAAAGGTTGAGAAAGCTGAACTTTTTCTTTTCCTTGGAAAATGTTCCATATCAACTGCATATCCTTCACACTACAGTTGATGTTCGTAGTAACATTTTAGTCACTGAGTCCATTAAAGTTAGCATGTATCTGCGGAGCACTTGTTATGAGTTCACCGTTGGACTAAACATTGCAAAAGTACAAGATACATTTAGGATAGAGTTTCAGCCCTCACATAGTTATAAATCTCTTTGGGAAAGCAATTTCTTTATACTTAAAACTTTGGTTAAATTAAAAATATATTTATACAGATGATATATGCTGCAGGAGAACGACAGACATTCCTTGAACACATCCAGCACGCTCTTACTTCAAGGTCTTTGCACTTACTGTGCCACCTAGAATGTTCTTTCCCTTGGAGACTGTCAAGGTTTGCTCACTCACTGCATTCAGGTCTCTGCCCGCAGGCCCTGTTGTCAATGGGGATTTCTCTGACCATATGAAAGTGTCAACCATCCTCCCACTGCTCCCCATCTCGCTACCCTACATTCGTTTCTTCATAGCACTTGTCACTTCTAACCTATATTGATCCTTTTGATATTACTCTTCCCTGTCATTCCCTCCCCAGTAAAATGCAAGCTCCATGAGGGCTGGAACTTGGTCTGTTTACTCACTAGTCCATCCCTGACATCTAGAAGCGTGCTGTGATCATAACAGGCATTAGGCAAATATTTCTTCAACTGATGTTGAAAGAACGAGTCACAGCATTCATATCATACGGATTAAGATATTTTCCAGGAAAGATTGCAGCTACCATACAAAGTTGTGAGCTTCCTAAGAGATAAGTCCCTTCTCCCAAAATCAGCATTGCAAATCGTGCCATCAAACTTTACTACAACTTGCTGATAGCATATATGTCCCAGATAAATGCTGAATTTGTAACATGCAAACATACATAGATGTATATATTTACAGCTTGTGGATAAAGACAACCCCCATTAAACATATTCTAAACTTTGAATGTTAATACCAAGGCTAGTGTTCATTTTAAATGTTCACACAATTTGAAACAAATCAACTCCATACATATCTGAGCCATATTTTCAAAAGATAGACTCCTTTTCGGCATGGATTATAAAAAAGAGAGAGAAAAGCAGTCGTCCAGCTATCTAATGTGTCTAAGGTTAATCAGTTGCTATGCAATTGTAAATGGTCCTCTGTTGTATCAAGATTTCTTAATTTTTGCATGTTTGTTTGCTTGCTCATTTGCTTGTTTCAGCCCAGGAAGTTTATCGCATTCTCAGATTGAAGATGAAGTATCTTGCATCTGTAATTTTCACCAAACGACATAAAATACACACACGCATGGTTCCAGAAATCCTCGAGTGGCGAGTCATGCATCATCCAGTGGAGGACGGTGCATGAGACCTGTAGAAGGGCCAGGGAAATAGGATGGAGTAGGAGGAAGAGGGCCTTTGAAATCAGCCAGGGCTGAGGCATGGCTTCTTTCCCTTAGTTACTTTCCTGCTGACATCTCCGAGGCTGGTCTGTCCCTTCTCAGAACTTCCCTGAATTCAGCGTCGGCACCACACCACTCCACAATTCGTTACCACACCTTGTGTTGCGTGATGCCTAACACACACGAGCCTTCTCTCCACTCCTTGAGTTTAACCATCTCGTAACAGAGTCTGTACGTGTGCAACTGCAGAACTACACAGGTGCAACTTCTCCTCTGTCTCCTGGAGTGATAAAGTGCCAAGCCCACCATCTAGGGACAGGTATTTCTGCTTCAAAGCCTGACAGGCAACCTGCAGTGACCACATTCTATAGACTGAGAATCAAAAGCAACTCAGGACTCAGCCCCACTATCAGTAAATGCCACCCTGGCAGAGTTGGTGGTCTCAGGGCACCCTTTGTCCACTGGAACCAATTTCTCCTCATGACATGGGAGAATCATCAGTGAAATATCAAATGACATTTTGTCACTCTGATTAAATATTAAAATAACTCTGTACAACATGAAGACTTTCATGCCAAAACAAACAAATAACAATGTCTTAGCAAGCGTTAGCAACGGGGATGGAGCAGAGACAGTAAAGCATCCCTTTAAAAGGACTCCAGCAAAACCAGTCTAAAGAGCAGACCGAACACATGCTGGTGATAAAGAAAGTACTCCTTTATTTTTGTTTTTCTCTGTCTATTTCCCACAGTCTCACCTTCTATCACAGCCAGCTGTATGGTCAATGAACACCGTACCCACCTACTGGAAAATAGGTGAATATCAGCACCCAGTTTCATTGTCATCCCAGAATGGAACCTGAGATAAAGGAGAGCTGTCCAATCGTAAGGACCACGTTTCTCTCCATTTCTTTGATGTAAACCAAACTCTGGACACTGCCAAGGTGTGACTAATGCCTTCTTATTCCGAGCTTAGCTTATTCCATTTTTTTCCATATAATTCTGCAAAGCTTTAAAATGAGAAAGGAGAATTCAGCCCATGAAACGCTTTACATGATATAAAAATCCCCGCCCCCAGTCCTCACCCCAGCCCCTCCATACAAAGCAAGTTTTATTAACACAAGGCGAGTGCTCCATTTGAAGAGGGCTGGGGCATTAAAGCAGATTGTTTTATGTCTCTGACATGAATACTCCGGGTGGATGAACTATCAAGGCCTGGGTTTAAGTGTGATTAATGCCTAGTACTTGGAAAGCATCCAAACTTATTAAATCTGATGGAGTAAAACAGCATAACTTTCTCATATTATTTCCAAGAGATACGATTAGACTGCACCGTGGTAGTGAATGAAACTAGAAATAAGCCACGGCTCGGGGAGAGGGAGCTCTGTTTTATTTACAAAGAATTAAGCGGAGGGAGTCGAGCATTTTAGCAAGTACAGGCAGAGTTCAATCACCTCAGCCCAAGGAAAACAGCGCAGACTGAAAACAAAGTCAACACAGCCTTCCTGTGCATTCTCACTTTCCCTCACTCCGCCCCCGCGCATGGCGCCTACAGGAATCAAAGGAGAAAAGAAGGTACTTGACAAATGTCCCCTCCTCCCACCCCAAAATGAATGTATCGACACATAAATACACACTACGCACATACATACACATTATACACACACACGTTCTTTTGTATTCTGGTGTCAGAGAAGCATCAGAGATAAATCTAACAGCATCCTTTAAATGACCCCCTCTCTACGTGGAACACAGGATCTACCCAACCTGATGTTTAGTGTGTTTACACAGCATGTTTACAACCCCAGACAAGCCTGCTGAAGTGGACTGTTCCTAGATTGAATAGTTGAGCTATGTGTATGTTTTGCCTTTCTGATCTGTGGTGCTTCTCAAAGGCAAGCGGTCCTAATAGATACACTCACTAAATTCATTCACTTCTGCTTTGAACAAAATGAAATCCCAAAGAAACAAACAAACTGAAGGAAACTACAGACTGGAAGAAATGAACTCCCAATATCCAGCAAAGAGAACATGTGGCGCATGTCCCACGTGCCAGGAGGGTGCCGAGGGGACCAGCCGGGGAGGTCAGACGCTCACTTCAGTTCTGAAGCTCTGCAGAGAGATGCAGAGAAGACGGCCATCCACGGGCCCAGCACAGACTCTGCTCTGACCGGAAACACTAGCTATCTAGGTACTCGGATGCTAGGATTTAGGGTTATTACTTCAGAAACAGAAACATACAAAAATATTTGTAATATCAAAGCTCATCCCAGTCAATTACAAATCTCAAGGCAAATCTGAGACGTGGGAGGGAAGACGATGTGCCCCCCGCCCCCAGTCTCTTAACTGATAAAAGAATAACAAATACAAAAAAAAAAAATCTGCCAAACAACAAAGCTTCAATTTATTATACATGCTCATCAATTTAACCCAAAAAAACCCTTAAAAGCCTGAGGGTGATCCAGCCCCTTTAATACCCAGGCCCTGAGCATGCCACAGATCAAGGCCCAAGCCCCAGCCTGCTTTGTCTGCGAAAGATGAAAGCCGGGCGAAAACAGGTGGAGGGTTTTTTTGAATCATCACCTGCAATTAAGCAAAGGAAAACTAAGAGGAGAAGAGGTAAGCTGAACTCGCTTGAAAAAGACATCCCCAGAGCAGGTGGACGCTTGCTGCGGATTGCTGCGGTGTCTGCTGACTCTCCCCAAAGAATGAGCATTCGCTGGGATTTCCTGCTGTGAACCACAGATTGCTCAGCGGCGGAGTGCAGTTTGCGCCACTCAGGACACACACACACACACACATACACACACACACACGCACGCACGCACGCACGCAGTCTGTACCTTACCTGCGATTCTTTAAATGCATTTTTGAACTGCCTGCCATTCTTTTGGAAACACTGTCTCAAACAACACAAGTCTGCAGGAGACTTCATTTTGCATCTAAAGAGAGACGTCTTTTGAGACTCTAGTTAACAACAGTGTATTGTATATTTGAAAGTTGCTAAGAGACTATATCTTAGAAGTTCTCATCACAAGGAAAAACATTTGTAACTATGTGAGGTGATGGATGTTACCTAGACTTATTGAGGTGATCATTTCACAATATACACATATATCAAATGCAAGAAACAATCTGCTAAATAAGTAAATAAACACATATAAAGGTCTTTGTTTCACTTTCTCTCCACCGACATTCCAATAACTACAGTTATTAAGGTCTTTTCACAAAGTAGAGGAGTGTTTACCCCAAAATTTCCAGACATAACCCCTTTCCCAATAACAAACTTTCCACAGTTAAGCTCTCTTCATTCTGAAAGAGCACGGTGAATCTAATAAAAAGACATTTCAGCACTATGTGATAGCACAATATTGTCATTTTTCAACTTCTATTAGAAAAGTCCCATTGTCTGAAAGCGCCTGGCGTCCGCCTTCCGGACAAAGTGTGTTCTGCCGTAAGTTGCAGGCACTGCCCCAGTCCACCGCCTTCCCCGTGCCTTCCCAGAGACGGACGGACACAGAGCAGGCCACATGACTTCATTCACCCACCAGACAGCGCACAAAGGGCATGAGTGTTGGCTTTACAAGAGTTCACTGTAAAAAGGAAACTTAACCGGAGGATGCAGGCTTCACACTGGTGTGGTGCCAATGAGACACCCCAAATAAACTTTGATTTCAAAAAGAAACCCTACTTTCATCAAAATGAATACATGAGAAGTTGATAAGGCTGACTTCTCGTATGATATGAAGCTCAAAATTCATAATTTTCTTCCAAACATCATTTGGGAAGAAGATTGAGGAAGCATATTCCGTCTTTGTGTCAGAATTGCTCGGAAGCTTCTAAAGTTCCAGGTGCATTCTGACTGCTCTCATCTTTGTAAATCGATAACAAGAATCAATGTGAGCTTGCTTTCTGTCGCTTGGAAGCTAATGGTGACAATAACGCATCAGACCAACCAAGAGAATGGCTGTTTTTTGGCTTCTGGAAAGTATCTTCTGCAAGGTAATAATTAAAAAAAAAAAAACTCACAATCAATGAGGAGAACAGAGAATCATGGCTATTGGATAAATCATGGCCTCATGCTGGTCCCCAAGGCCCCCACTCCCAGTGTCAGAGTCAAAACTGCTATAACCTTCCAACGTTTTTGCATCTCCCAGAGAACTTATGAGCCGTGTTTTGCATTTCTGTTATTTCTGGCCCCTGTTTTATGCTCCCCCTCGGCTCCCAGTGATAAGGTTCTCAGGGCCAAGGTCCCACTGACCTTTCTGTCTGCCCCAGAACAGTGACCCTTCTGGAGCCAAATCAGATGAGCGAGTTAAATAGAATTCGGCTTCCGGTTGATCTGCATCTGCAGTTCAGATCCTGCGGGTTCGCACCCTTTCCAAGCTAAGTGATCAAACAGTCCAGAGAAATGGTGTTCCCCAGAACTTTGTTATCTTGTTGGTGAAATGAATACAAAAACAGCAGCATGTCAGATAAAATATGCTTTTTTCTTAAAACAAGTAAAACCAACATTATTAAAAATAACACAGCATTTAGCCTCACTCTGTTCTATATCTTCAACCAAATGCCATCTTACTGGCCATAGGTTTTCTATTCCAGCAAGTGACTGCATGTCACTCCTACATTCCTAACTACAGTGTTAAAATACAAAAAGGAATATTGATGGAAGAAAAGTTCACCTGAGTGGGTTTTCCAGGTGAGCTGCTAAGCAGTATGACACAGATGTGCCAGTTTGGCCTCCCGCAGGCAGGAAATCAGTGCTTTACTCCCGACAAAAAGGAACTTGTAGGATTTGTCAGCTCAAACTTGGTGCAAACGAGGAAGGTCTCAGGTAACCGATGCTGTGCTCTCCCCAGGTGTGTGGGCACCCGGCTTGTCAGCAGCGCGGAAGCTGCACGGGAATGGAATTCAGCACAACTTCTCCTGGAGCCTGGGGAAAAATATTAGCCGCTTTGGAAAGCAGAAGATGGACTTCCCATCCATGGAAGGGCCCAAGCAAAGGCTCCCGGGGTTCAGACACGAAGTTAGACCGCGTGCCCGTTCCTTTAGGTCCCTGTCAACCACGAGATTGTACAAAACTTAGGAACGTCACAGGCTCTCCGCGTAGTTGGCACTTTGTTATGATTTGGGGACGTGGAAAAGTCAGGGCCTACTTTATTTCTTCATATTTGGTTAACTTGGTCTCTGTCAAGTAGCTAATTTCTTTTGCCCTCTGTTGTTCAAGGCAACACCAACACTTCGTATTGTAACAAAAGCCACATCCTTTTGTCAAAAGTCGACTACAGCTACCCGTGCCGCCTGGTTTTCTCCTGTGGCTCACACTGCCTCGTGCAGGGTCGAAGTGATCATTTTATGCTGCAGGCACGTTTAAAATGCAGCTTCCGACCGCAGGGAACGCCAGACTCGCTGTGCTCACGTCGCCCCAGTCCTTCAGCACTGACTCCTCACTGAGAACAGGGCGAAGGGGAAGCGGCGAGGACAGGAGGCCATAACCCAGCACCCAACCTCACCTAAGTGTCTCAGCCGCAACGCCCACGTGTGGAAAAGCCGGCCCCAACAACGATCCTTGCGTTTCCCTTCAGCGTTAACCACTTACAGATCCCAAGACGGGCCGGAACCGCCGGTCCTCTGTCCACAGTGATTCTCCAGAGTCTGGGCCACACCCCCGAACCCGGGGCATCTTGGATTTTATCTGGCAGCCCTAATTCTGGCTACCCCAGAATCTGACCTATCAAACCTGCTCTCAGCACCTTCTTTCAGTACCCACCCTGTGACCTTGGGTGTCTCTGGAGCTCTGGAGGGGAAAGGGGTGAGAACGATCATCCATGACTCTGCTGCAGCCCGTGCGACTGACGCCGCAGGTGCTCCTTAACTAAGAAATACTCAGTGATTGGACGTCACCTCACCAGGTCCTCCCCCAGTTCCGGTCTCCCCTCCTTCCTGCTTTCTGGGCCCTTCATTCAGAAAATGACACCGGGCACCTCCAAGTCACAGCTCTGCGCCAGGCACGGGAGGGCGCCCGCCGCGAACAAGGCAGGCGGGGCTGCGCAGGCCTGGCCCCCCTGCATCCGCTCGGTTTGCAGCAGCCTGGCCCGTTGGTCCAAAGTCTACATTTCTTCGAGAATTCTGTGCTGCGTCAACAGTTGGATGTTCCTCTGAATTCCGCTGCAGGCGGGGCTTGCGACCCTGGGCACTCGCCGCTTGGCCCTCCCCTGGGTGTTTACCAACAGCCACACCCAGCGAAGGGAGGGTCTCCTGTAGCCACCTCGCTAGAGGCCTGGGCTCCTAAGAGCGGCCAGCATGGATGTTTGCATGTCTACACTTACAAACTCATTACCAGATCAACTCGATGGTCCATCTGGCCCTTTCAGCCTCTCGTGTGTGCTCACTCAGTCTGAGTTTGCTTTCGGTGTGTCAGGCTGTGGAAAAATAGACCTTTCCACGTGGTTGGGCAGGAGGAATGTTCTCCTCGCTTCTGCTCGCATGCTCTGCTGGCAGGCCTCCCGGACCTGGAAGGGTAAGGAGCAAGCAGCCAGCAGCGTGGCGGCTCCGAGCTGGCGCAGGCCTGGGATGCGCTGCAGGGACTTGTACGAGGCAGTTACGCACCAGCCCAGCCCTCCGCGCTGCGCGCCGGCTTCTGCAGATCTGGCCTAGCCCCTTGCTCTCTGCTGTGGGGGATTTTTACACGTTTTTCAGCCCTTGAAAGCAAGCCAGATAACCCTCAGGTTCTTCCCTTCCCCGCCGCTCTCCCTCCCCATGGCCTTTCTTCGTCTGGTCCTCAGTGGTGATCCAGTGACCGCTTACACACATTCTCTTCTTAAATGTTTATCCAGAGTCTTAGGTCTTCAGCATATATTCACTGTTTATTTTAATGCTCAACCTACAGAGGACTTGCCACTTTGATCTTGGCTGTTTCTCCCCAAAGCCACATGGAAATTGACTAGTGTAGGTACCTCTCTCATCTACTTTCCCGGTCCTTCCATTTTTAGTCAGTCAACCTTCAGCTTTATCCATTAGCAGATGTTTCCTTGAGGACACGCCATGTGTCCACACCACGGGAAATATAAAAACGAGGGAGAGGCCGGCCTGGTGGCACAGTGGTTAAGTTCGTATGCTCCATCAGCGGCCGTGGTTCACCAGGTTCGGATCCTGAGTGCGGACTTGGCACCGCTCATCAGGCCATGCTGAGACAGCGTCCCACAGAGAGGAACTAGAAGGACCTACAACTAGGATACACAACTATGTACTGGGGTTTGGGAGAAAAAAACAACGAGGGAAAGTCATTGCTGACCCGGAGCAGCTCGAGCTCCAGGGGAGGGTCGTGAAGCAGAAACACGCATCAGATGGGGTGATGCTGGCGAGTACCACGGAGCACAGAGGCGAGGTGCTGGGGGAGTTCCCGAGAAACTATTGCTGTGTTTGGGGGTTAGAGGCAGCTTCGTCCAGGAGGCGGCATTTGATCCAGAAGTTGAAGGAGAGAATTGAGTGCACAGACGTGAGGAGGGGGCTTTGCAGCGAGGAGAAGCCACCTGCCCAGACGCGGTGGGCAGTACCTGCATCCGGGGCTGCGCACCGTCCTCGGCCATGTGTGAGTCGGCTGGAACACCGGCGGGAGAGAGAGCGGAGAGCCTGGCGCCACACTGGGAAATGCGGACTTCACTCATCCGCTCAACTTGCATTTCCTGAGCACTGGTTAGACCAGGCACAGCTCTCATCCTGGGAGTCCAGCTCCACCTCAGGAACTCATATTCTGATGGGGAAAGGCAGACAGTGAGCAAATCCGTAAAATGCAGCAGGCTCAGATGACGAGAAACGCTACGGAGAAAAATAAAGGCGGGAGGAGGCAAAAGGAATGTCAAGGAACGTGTACTTCTTTCTAAATAGAATGTTTGGTTTCGAATCGTTTTAGATTTACGGGAAAGTTGCACAGACAGTCAGAGAGCCCATCCCTCAGCTTCCCGTCACTATGGCACATTTGCCAC